CTGGGATTTCAGCACCAGGACTAGAGTTATCACTTTCGCTGGGATTGTTTAACCTAGCGATTACCTCCTGTTCATTAGGTTCATTGATGACTACAGGAGGAGGCCTCCCAGCTGTAGTTTTTATCCTGATTTTTGGACGGGGTTCGACGACAGGAGCTGGTTTTTTCAATCTTCGTCTCTGCAAAGGAACAGGAGGGGACTCCTCTTCTTCATCGCTAGAGATTTGGATCTCTTGAACCTTCCGTTTTTTAAGGGTAGGTTTCTGAATACCCAGGAAATCAAGTCGAGGGGATCAGTACCTATGTTAGATAAAAAATGAGGGTATGAAGGAAAAGTAAATACCTTGGGAGAAGGGTTGACGGCAGAGTCTCCCCCTTTTGAACTCTCAGTAGTTTTCTTCGAGGCGGCTCTCTTGACAGCTAGACAGAAGACGAGACAACTATGGTTAATTAAGTGTCGAAAGACAAATATAAAACGAAGAGATGGAAAAGAATAATACCTTTCTTGACTCTGTCGAGAACCAACTTAAACGCCTCGCGTAGATGGTGGGCGAAGTCCTTCTCATCGAAGAACTCCTCGTCATAGTACTGTTTCCACCACACCTCAAAAGTGACGGAACTCAGAAAATGAAGGTTAAAGTCGAACAGGGTTAATATAGTTCGACCGGAATACCTACCAATGTGCTTGGTAGCGGCATCTTCTGAGTAGTCTGCATTATAAAAAAGCAGCAGCTTCTCTCGAGGGGTAAATAGGTGAGGGAAGTGATTGAGCAATACCAAATTGTCGAGAGACAAGATTTGGTTGATAAGCAATTAAGCTCAGTTGATTTTTTGAGCTCTTGAATCTAAGGGCATGATCCTGGGGCGCATAAACGATTCCCACATGGTCACAAACTCATCAGTCACGCCATCCTCCTCATTCGAAGGGTATGGTCTGGTGAACCATTCCGGACCAACTTTTCGACTGGCAAAGGGAGCCATAGTCGAAACAAAGCTCTTTCGCTCCGCAAACATCATTACGAAGCTTGTGAAAGCCTTCTGAAATTGTTTTCCTTCATCAGTGGGAGTTAGTAATGCAAGCATGGTGCCTTCGACTCTCCTGTTCAAGATTTCAGGAGCCTCTTCGTTGATCTTGTTCTTTTGGGGAAGGAAAGATTCAAAGGTGGCATTGAGCCACAGCTGGAGAAGCCAAAAGGGACTAGATATCAGCAAGCTCCCCCTGTCTCCTAGAACCTTAAGTTGAGTCACACCATTACTGATGGACTCATATAAGTTGGCCAGAATCAATTCGGCCAGGCAAAGGGGGGTATTTATGGTGAAGCTGCGTTGCGAGCGTCAACATCTTTTTTGTCACCTGCAGTGACTTAGTACAAAAAACAAATCGAGACAGCCACATAGCCAAGAAGGATATATGCTCCACCTCCGACACGATACTAGAGGTTTTGTCATGAAAGTGGTTTATAAAGGTGGTGTAAGTGGGTTTTGTAGCAGCAAACCCAATAGGATCCTCCGACAAGTCTTTAGGGTCGAAATAGTCACCAGTGGGTCGAAGACCAGTGATGGCAGTTATGTCGAATAAAGTAGGGGTCATCATCCCACAAGGAAGATGAAAAGTGAAATGTGCGCTATCCCAGAAGTACAATGAAGATACCAGCATAAGGGGACAGTAAGAAAATCATGTCTTCGACAGCATCACCAAGTCATAAATGCCCATCTCCTTCCATACAGAAGCTTGCGCCATCTCCATTTTATTCAACCAATCTGAGTATTCAGAAGAAAGGTTAGGGCTTGATCGAAAGATTCGATTTCCTTTGTTCATGAACTGGAGGTTGATATCCTCTGTAGTCTGAGGATGCTGTTGGTTAGCCGGAGTAGCGTCTTCAGGGTCCTCCCTAGGTTTCTTCGAGCAACCTATGGGTCTAAGCCTTGGGTGAGTGGGAAAGAAGGCGCGGTTTTTCAAGGGATTTTCGACGCATGAAGATAACGGACCAGATATAGCGTACATGTTTCCACCGTGTCTCATGGGAATGAGGAGCTGAGAACCATATTCTTCTCGCCATTCTTTCGTCATAGGTTCAGCAATGTACCTGTTAGTCGAGGAAGAAGGAGGGTTGGTGGAAAAGATCTTTGGTGGTTTCTGGACATCATTAGCGTTTTTTGGTTGGGGATTATTTGGTGCATTAGAGAGAAAAGCCATTGTTGAGGTGTTGAGAGAAAAAACGTAGTTGACAGTACAATGTTGTGAGAGAGCAAGGGATTTGGAAATGCTAGAAATGGTAAAAATTCCAAATAGAAAGGCTTGGAAGTATTTATAGCCTTCAGAAGAGGGAGATGTCTCGTCAAGACCATTTAATGTTTTGCAGGTAGTGGGACACGTGGCGAAGCGCGAAACGGTTACCGTGCAGGCATTGGGAAACGTTGGGACGTGCTTGCCTAGGTTATAGGAATATGGTCATCATGGCAAGCGTGGTAACGACAGTTTGAAGAGACATCTTGGAAAAAAGTAATGATGGTTTGCTCAAGTGCAGCAGCTGTTGGAAGGCGAAAAGCACACGTCAAGACTTGGTGGACAACTGGGAAGACAGGTGTCGAATGGGAAGTTCAAAGAATGGCTATTTCTTTGAGCGTCGAAATAGACATTCTTGGGGGGCAATTTGTTGGCTCCCAAATCCGACACTTACTGTATTTGGTCTTTTGGACCAAACAACTAGAATGAACCAAACCAGGAAGTATGATTCGACACATGAGATAACTTTAGAAAAAAGATCTAAGTTATGATAGGAACCTTCGACCAAGGGCTCATTCGACTGAAGAAGACTTATGTTGCTCGACTGAGAGAAAGTGTTCACGCTTTAGCACATGGGACGAGGACTATTTGAAATTTGAATTATTGGAGGGAAAGGCAGTTTTCATCAGCGTCTAAGAAGAGGCAACATGGCCAAAAGCTATGGGTCGAGGGACATGCAGAAGACACTTGTCTTCATCCTAGCACAAAATGTCCCCTCGACGGTTACTTATTTTTAGTATAAATTAAGAAGCTTGTGTAGTTTTCAAGGGTGTTCAACCTATTGTACTAAATCACTCAAATATTATCCATGTAACTACTGCGTGAGAAAGGATAAAGCTGTGCAATGTACGTTGGAAACACCTTTTTTCCTTAATGAAAGTCTTTTTTACATTACTTTACCATTATCCTGCAAAGTTATCTTTTTACTTCTTTTACTTGCATTTCTATACTTTTGCTTACTTTTCAACAATCTCAAACATCCTTTCTCTGGGTCGAACGTGCATTCTTCCTTCTTACCCATTTTACATAAAAATTAGCATATGTCCTGGGATTAGTTTGATCGATCCCGTAAGTAAACCAAAAAACTTACCTTTTTGGAGATCAGCGGTTGTTTACCAAAAACAACGGTAAACAGAGCTACTCATCGCCGTGATCTTTCTCTCACCCCAAAATTGTAATTTACCTACAAGGGCCTCTGAGTCTCCATGCCCTTGCAGGGGAACACACACCTGTACTTTTTGGATAGTACATATGGCTATTAAAAACAAAACATTTTATTCAAGTTTATTTGAAAGCGAGGTGTCCTATACCAAAGCCATCACTGGAGTGGACGACACATTTTACACAAGATGTTGAAACTTGGCTGAATCACTTTCTAGAAAGGGTGGAAGAGTTTACCAAGTTGAGCGGCATTGAAAAGAGAAGAAAATAAGGAAATATCGAAGAACGAACCATCAATAGATTTATATAGGGACATATGTTTTGATGCATTTTAGTTGTAATTAATAATGTACCATGTTGTTTTTGTATGTAACACGCTGCATACTGTTATAAAATTGGATGGTATTTTTTGAGCATTTTTTGTGTTTTGAAAATTGGCTATTCATAATCAATTGGTTCTGTTATGCATAAATTTTGGGTGGATTTGGAGATACATCTCCGGATACAACTTGTAATTTAAAAAACAAGAGACTATATGGACGTGCATCTCCAGATAAACCCTTATATTTTGAAAAAAGGCGGATACGAAGATGTATCTCCGAAGTCTTTCTTGAAGATAGGATATGGTTTGTACGATCCTTATTACTCTACACCGTCTATAAATAGGATCTCTCATTCTATTTTCTTTACAAAAATCATAATTAATCCCTATCCCCATCTTGCATTTTTGTATTTCAATGGCACGAATCCCCCACTTTAGATTAGGGTCTCAGAGAACATACTTCTCGTTGATCTGAAATCCAACCAGAATACTACACTACGATATCCAGAAAATTGGAGAGTTGTCAAGATCGGGTATCGTGCACCCTCCATTGACAATGAAGGGAAGATACAATTCACTATGCTTGAACTGAAGATGAATGATGATTTGAAGGTTATGTGGAGTACCTTTTGCCGTTACTTAACAAAGGGTCTGATTGAAGTGGATGCGACGATTCAAAGGTCAATCAAAGATATTATAAGAATGTTGCAACTTCCTGAACCACCGGTTTGTTATGACATATAACGTTAAATTTATGTAATGTTTATCTATGTAATGTTCACTTTGATGTTAATTTATGTTGGTTTTCCATTCTGCTATTGTTTTCTGCCTATTTATGGTCTGAACTAACTGAGCATATTCTAGAGATGCATCTCCAAAAATCTCACAAAATAATAAACTAAGGGGAGGTTTCAGAGATGCATCTCCGAATTAACCTTTTGTACATATGGAGGTGCTACTCCAAACCATGTTTAAGCAGAGCAAGAGTTTCTAAACAATTTCGCTAAGTTGTGTGTGAAAAAAGGTGTGTCAGGAGAAGCATCTCCAGACGCTATGGGCACTTAAGACTTTTCACAGTGGTGTGGGAGATTACATAAGGATGGAAAAGGAAAATCCATTATTTTATTTATATAATTATGCTGTCCAAGGAAGGCCTTCTCTTGTTGGGTTACCCTTAGTCTCTTTTTTATTTTATTTATATAATTATGTTGGCCAATGGAGGTTTTGCCGCATGTTAAAGTATAAAACACATTCAGAGATGCATACTACCCAATAAATTTTAAATTAATGGTATTTACGAATATGCATGTCTAGATTAACCTCATATACATATAGAGATATATTTTCGGATTAAATTTTGATAAAATAAGAGCTTCTCATTAATTTTACACTAAGAAGTGTGTAAAAAAATACACCTGAAAATACATCTTCGAACGCCAGAGACATTTATGATTTTTAACGGTGGTGGGAAGCACTTCTAAGGATGAGAAAAGTAATTTCCTCTTAATTTTATGGTTTACTTCTATTTGTTGTGAGTTTTTTTTTTTTTTGCATTATCTCATCTCTGTGTATCTTTTTCTTTTCCCTTTAATATATTGAGTTTCATAAAAAAAGAAGAACAATTAATATAGATTAAATTAACGATTTTTTATACTTAAATAAGATTGAGAACATAGACATTAGTAGAGTTGTAAGTGAATCGGAAAAAAATCAATTAAAGTGATAGTTTGAATCAAACCAAATCGAAAAAACTAAAATTTTCTAGTTCGGATAAAAAATCAAACTAAATCGATAAAAATCGAGATGGTTTGGTTCGGTTCTCAATTTTAATTTGTAAGAACTGACAAACCGATGAAACACACCGATAGCTATAGTTACTATTTCTTTTGTTTCAAGTTATATAATTTTTTTTATTTCTTTTGTTTCAAGTTATATAATTTTTTTTGATGTATATTTGAGGTATAAATCATGTTACTTTATGTGTATGGAAACTTTTTGCTGTTATTATTATATTTTATTTTTTATTGATTTGTATTAATTAAATGCTATTTAAAAAATAGAACATGAAATAGATGAAAAAAATTATATAAAATATATTATTTAAATAATAGCAAAAAAAATATATTGAAAAACATGATCGTTGTGAATACACAAATCAATATAATTTTTTTAATAAGTCTCCTTATTGTATATATTAACGTATTAAATTGTGCTTTCATCATATTGATAATAATTGAGATATGAGTAAATAAAAGATTAACACTTCGATACCTGTATTTTCAATCAATCAAACAGTGTAATTTAATATTTATTATTATTTATTTTATTTTAATTTTAAAATAAGTTAAAATTTAAAATAATTTGCACTAAAGTACATGTACCCAACTTAAACTCATGGATACCAAAGAATTAAAAAAAAAAACTCTTGAGATATTTTGAAAATAATATTAAAATAAAAATTTACATAAATACTTTCGAAATATTTAAATATTTATTTATTTTAAATATTATTAAAAAATATTCAAATAACACATTTAAATGTTTAAATATATTATAATAATATTAAATGCATATAAATTTAAAAAAAAAACAAATTTGAAAATTAATTTTATAATTTTTGCAAAGTAAAAGATTGTTTTGAAATGCAGGCTTGTAACTACAAGTTTGATTAGTGGAAAAGAAACATCAAGAACGTCTTTCAAGGACAAGAAAGGAAAACAGTGAGTCGAGCAATGTATAATATTATTTAGTCTTAACATACACACCATGTCCTTATAAATATTTGCCACTATTCTACCAGTGGATCTCATGAGGTTCGTTGTGTTAGAAGGCAATTAATGTTGGAAGCCATTGCCAATGAGCTTCCAAGTGGAACCATAAGGTACATGTCAAAGGTGGTTGCTATTCAGGAATCTGGCTTCTCTAAGATACTACATCTCACTGATGGAGCAACAATCAAAACCAAGGTAATCAACATTACATGGAATAACATATAAATTAAGGCAAGATACATGTACATATTTCATCATGTATTTTATGGTCACGGCTCTCTATTTCTCAAAAGATATGAAGGTGTTCATTACTATGAGATTCATTTCTAAAGTGAGAGATTCACATGTATTTCACCCTAAGAGAGTGAGTGTTTGAGAAAGTTTTAAAAAGATAGTGTTTATAGCACTCCTCAAACTAAAGAATTGATCTGAATCCTCCAAAATTCACCTCAAATACATTTTTGAGTTCTCCAAAACTAGTGAATTTTTGTGTTGTGAATAAAATCAAACCCTCTAAAATCTTCTCCACCTAAATCCCTTAATTGTTTTCACTTCATCTTTTCATTTCTTTCAAATTCATCTTCTTTTATTCCCTATAAATTCTCAAACAAAACCTTAAGATTTTAGTTGGAGAAGTGGTGTCTCCCTCTCTTGTTATTTTGGAGCATTGATTTCATTGATGCTCATGCCTTTTATGAACTCTTCAAAAAGTGACATCAGAGTCTTCGTTTGACTTGGTGGGATAGCGCGAAATCATTTATATGTTGTATCATGTTATAGGATATGAGAACTTACACTTGCGACGAAGAATATTTGGTTCAAGTGTGAGTGATTAAGTCCCACACCGTGTTATATGATGTGGGAACTCACACTTGAGAAGAAGAGTGTTGGACTCAAGTGTGAGTGATTAAATCTCAAATCTCTTATGAGTGATAGAATGTTGATTTTATAAGAGAGGTGGTCCAAATACCTAATGACTTGGTCCTAGATCAATGCAATCGTGACATTGTTGCTCATGTTTTCCCCATACCCCCAACACAAATATTGCACATTCAATACATTGTATTAAACTAAAAAAAATAAAGCAAAAATGTTACTTGAAATGAGATGTTTCTTTATCAAGTTGTTGTGGTTAACTAAATGTGTGTTTAGCTATGTGGTGTTAAAAATCGATTTGAGTGAGTTTTGTTTAAATATAAATTTTTTAGAGAAAATATTAATATCCTAAAATTTTTATTTAAATATAGTGGTTGTTGGTGAATGCATGTCGAAGTGATGTTAATGATAGTCAGTAGTAACAAGGGTGGTAGTAATCAGTGGTGATGATCAATAGTGATTTAAATATTAATTTATCCTAATCAAGGTGGTGATTATAGTAGAAATCAGTGATGATGATTTGTAATTAGATTGGTGTTCTAGGTGAAGGAAGTGATGATTAATAGTGGTTAAACCGGAGGTTGATAGTGATCATTGTGGTGGTCGACGTTGGTCAAAGTAGGACATCGAGTGGTTAATGATGTTCATTGAGGGATTCATTATAGTAGTTAGTGGTGGTTTGATTAAAAATTATATGTGAATAAAATGGTGATCATAGATAATTATAGTGGTGGTCGGTGGTCGTTAAAGTGATGGTTAAAAGTGGTTAAAGTTATTAGGAACCATTGTTGGTGGTGTGTTAACTTTAAAATAAAAACTAAAAATTTAAAACAAGTCATTAGTCGGGGCATGGATCACTAATTGAACTTAACGATACTAAATTATTACCAAAAAAACTATCACATCATAATCAACAGATTCTTTGAAAATCAAAATTGAAAAAAAAAAAAAACTTCCCTAATTCATATGGGGTTGAGAAATTTCAGTCGATAAAAACAAAAATCTTAAATTTTCTATCATAATGAAAGAAAAAAATGATCATCCATCATTTTTAACCCTTACCGTCATTTGATTACACAAAAATGGATGGTAAACAGATAACAAAGTACATTACTGTTCCTTTTTGGATATGGTAAATTAATCTTTTAAGAAACTAAGTCCATAGTCATATGAAGTACATCAGTATTATGTATGAGTCTTTAAATTCTCTAGTCATATGAAGTACATCACTATTATGTATGAGTTTTTAAATTCTCAGTAAAAGATCAATTGTCTTTAGTGATAGAAAACTAAAAATGTCAAATATAAATTATATGAATGCTTATTGATGGGTAGTTAACATTGGTCAAATGTGGATTTAATTCACAATTAAGAAATGATATCACATATGTTTATCTGGTCGAATGTTGATCTGATTCTTAGTTAAATCAATTTAACCCTATGATTTGAATTTTAAAGTATTCATTCTAGAATTAAAAAAAAATTATAATCAATTTCACTTGTCTAAAATTATATTGTATATTTAAACATGTACTACTTTTGTGATATTTTGCCTTGTGTCCTTACATAAAATCAAATGTACTTGTTAGAAGAAAAACAACTTCAATTATGAGTTTAAATATGTATAACTCAATTGATACATGGATGTTTGCAATTTCAAAGGTATTGATAGGGAGTGATGGAATAAACTCTATAGTGGCAAAGTGGCTAGGTTTCAAGGAAGCTTCCCCCATAGGGAGATATGCAACTAGGGGTTATGTAGAGTTGAAAAACACTCACAAGTTGGAACCATTGTTCATGCAGTACTTTGGCAAAGGTTTTAGAGCTGGAGTTATTCCATGTGATGACAAGTGTGTTTATTGGTTTTTCACATGGACTCCTACCATCAAAGGTGAATACTCTTTCTTATTGCAAATATTTTTTCCGAGAGACAATTTAATTTTAGATTTATTGAATAACTAATTTATATAATTTTTCTATATATAAATCAAATATATTAGTTAATTAATAAATTTAAAAAAAATTGTGTGTTATAGAAAAGACTAGTGAGAGTAATTTAGTAATAATAATGTAAAATATTATTGAAGTAATTAATTAATATTTGTTTATATTTTAGAGCACCAAAAAGAGCTAGCACAAGACCCAGCTAAACTGAAACAATATGTGTTAAGCAAGTTAGAGAAGATGCCAAGTTATGTTAGATCTTTTATAGATCATACTGAGTTAGATGCTTTTCATTTAGCTCCATTGAGGCATAGACATCCTTGGGAGCTCTTAATGAAAAATATTAGTGAAGGAAATGTTTCTCTTGTTGGAGATGCCTTACACCCTATGGCACCTGATCTTGCCCAAGGGGGGTGTAGTGCTTTAGAGGATGGGGTGGTTTTAGCAAGGTGCTTAGCTGAGGCTTTTTCCAAGAATCCAATGGAAGGAGAAGAAGAATATAAACTAATTGAGGCATGCTTGAAGAAATATGCAAATGAGAGAAGATGGAGATGCATTGATCTCATTACTAGATCTTATATTGTGGGTTCCATTCAACAAAGTGGTTCAAAATTGACTAATTTCTTTAGGGATGAAGTTTTGGCTACTTTCTTAGCTCATCAGCTGTTGCAAAAAATAGATTTTGATTGTGACCAGCTAAAAGAGTTCTAATTAGTGACACAATCATCTTTATGGATCATGAACTTGTGTTCTTTATATTTGAGGATGTTGAGATTTACTTTTTTTTGGTGTGGTTTGATGTTGATTAAAGAACAATAATGTAAAATGTTTAATGATGAACTTATTACTTGATAAAGTATGAAATATTTTTTATATTTTATAAAAGTTTATGTATTTCATCTATTAAATTAAATGAAATATACTCCTTTATCTCACAATATATTTGACCTATTTATAAAAAGAATTTGTTTCAAAATATTTGATACTTTTAATTTTTAAGGCAGTGTGTATTGTAATAGTCATACCTTTTTCTTCTAGTTATGTTAATACTAATCACCAAATAATAAGAGACATAACCAAATCATTTTCTCAAGCTCCCCATAACAACATTTATGATATACATATTAGTCATTTTCTCAAACCTTGTATAAAAATAACTAAATTGCTATCATCATATCTGAAGATGAATATCATGGTGGCTATGAAAATTGCAAGAAGAATCTCAATGGTCGTAAGATAAGTCTAGAATAAAACAGAATTAAGGTGATATGAACAAAAATTTCTTTCAAAAGATTGCTACAATTAGACATGATACTAAGAGCGTATCTTCGGTTACTATTGGTGATGAGGTTATTACTGATTCTACCAAGAATTAAAACAAATTTGTTATTTATTTGAAGTCTTTTTTTAATTGTGATAATAATTGTTTTGATAATAGATTGATATAGGATGTGATCCCTAATATTGTTGATGACCAAATGAAATATACGTTTACTTGTATTCCCACTTCAATTGAAGTGCATGAGGTAGTCTTTATCATGGGTAGTTCTAGTGGTTCTGGTCCTGATGGATTTGAAGTTCATTTCTTCCAAATTTATTGGGAGATTACTAAATATGGTAAGATTAAAGTTATGGATTCTTTATTTATTAATGGTTGGATCCTTTTGAAATGGAATTCTAATAATATAGTGTGAAATTATGTTTGATTAGTAAAAGTAAGATTCACACAATGTCAAAACAACGTGTGAGACAAGATTACATGAAAATAATTGATGAAAAATAAAATGAATAACAATAAAAAGACACAAATAATTGGTAACTCAATTCACTGTAATCATCACATACATATGGAGTGTTGTAGCTCACACGAAACTAAATTCACTAATTATAAATACTTAATAGTATACAATAATATCATCTAAACTTTCCTAGTTTAGTGACTTTTTTCTATTATTACTGCCAATGAATTTCAACTCAAACTCTCCTTATATTTAAGATCCTCCACTTTTGCTCAAACTCTCTTCTAAGTGTTTCCAAAAACCAATTATTTAGGATGTGAAACACTTTACTAATATTGAAAAAACACACGTTCTTTCTCTCTTGTAAATATGAATGACTAACAAGGATAAAATTTCACAAAACAGAATCCAAAAGACTTAACAAAAACTTATACTACCTATAAATTCACTTTATGTCTTCTAATATGGAGGGTGATCTCTTTATATAGATGTCTTTATCCATCCAAAAATCCCAATAGTGTAAAAGAAAATTCAGACCAAATCAAATCTTCAACAAACTTAATCTTTTATTGAGAGAAAATTCAATTAAATATTTTATTATATGAAAATCTAACTAAATCTTTTATTGAATGAAAATTCAATTTAATCTTTCCAAAATATATTAGCATAATATGGAGCAAACAATTATTTCTGAATTAAATTTGAATTGAATCATTTGTAGTAAATCAAGATTTTAACCATCTAATAAGTGAGAGACCTGAGTTAGCATGTTTCAACAGTATATCTCAATAATATATGCGACATATTTATTAAATAAGAATCCTAAAAAATATGTCAACCAACTAAAATAACAAGCTCCCTCTTTGTAAGAATATTTAGGAGCTTCAAAGAGACGAAGTAGAAAAGTTACTGTTAGAGGAGGCTTCATCCATGTCATCATCACCATATTCCTCTCTAGAATTGGACATATCTTTAAACTGGTCTACTTGAGCAACATCATTTTTAACATCAGGAACAAAAGGCTAAGTTAAAGAAGCCTCAGCAGTTTGGGGGTTCAACATTTTGATGATGCTTTCACAAACGCTCTTCCTTGTAGTGGAATGGCAATAATATCTTGCAGAGTCTTTGGTTAATGAAATGATTTCTTGAGAATATAAATTCTTAGATGTCCAAAAAAAGGAGCAATTTCGATCATATATTCATCAAGTCCCAAACCAATCTCGTAAACAAAAGTAACAATGGGAATGATAATGTCAGTATTATGTTTCCTAAAAACAAAACTTGTAAGTAAAGTTCAACACGCTCCAAGCAACACATACCTGGTCCTCACTAGTAACAATATCATATTTTTGACTACTCAAAATACAACATATCAAAGAAGGGAAATCGATTGGTAGTTTAATTGCATACAACTAAAACATGTTTATCAAATAGTTAAAAGACATATTCTCAAAATTCAAATGCAGCACGAGTTTCTATTTGGTACATAAGACTAATAAGTCTAAGAGTCATATCTGATCCATGAGATGAGGGAGCCCAGTTAGCCATTCCAATCTTGTACGTAGTTGCATACTTGATACTCACATTTTAGGCTACTAAAATAAAGGGAAATTGGGATACAAGGGGAAGCGGAAAACCAAAAATTTCCCTTTTAGTTGATCCTTACCAATGAGCATGATCAATGATAGAAACGATTACCTCTTATGGCGGTTAAAACCTTTGATACAAAGTTGAAGAAATGATCACGAGCATTGAATGATGAATAACTCCTCTACTCAGTTCACAGGAACAAAGTGCTTTCAATCTCAATGCTAGTTGTTACAATGAAGACTCTGAGTGGGAGAGAAGGGGAGAAATTACAGCTAAGGTTTCACAAACCAAATTTTATCAAGTGAAAAAGCTTCTGCACAAGGGTTCTATTTATAGAATCACTTGTGTGGGCTGCAAGCTAAAAATCCCACTTAAGTGCACCATACCTTATAGTGTACCATATATTACTTAAACACACATTACCTTATCGTATTTCATAATCCACTTAAGTGCATTGTACCTTATGGTGTTCTACAATTCACTTAAGCGCACAATACCTTACAGTGTTCCTTATTTATTCTATATCTCATCAATATGTCCTTATATGTGTGATTCTGTAAGTTTCCGTGACGTTGGCAATTATATTAAATCACGCATTTAACATAATAAACAGTAAGAGGTATCTAGCAACACATCACTACTACCCAAGTCACGAAAATGTTATGTGATATGAAAAAACTTTTTTGTGATAATACTCGTGTGTACAATTACCCATTTTCTCTTATGTTTATATTGAACACAAGACATAGACTGTGTCACCCTTGTCCAGTTCAATATTGGCCCCTTAGACATTTATCCTGTTACGTTGGATGGATAAATTCTATATAGGTCACTCATGTCCCTCAACATGCTTTATGGAGTATCCATCAACTATATTTATGGTCATCCAGTTACAAACAATATTTGATCAGCAATAAAGTACTGAACTCCACATCCAGGATCCGTAGTGATTTCAGGTTGAAGGGTGGTATACACCACTATCACCATGAGAATAAATTGTGAAACTTTGAATAACATTCTATGTAGTATTATCATATAGGGTCAATCCATTATAAATATTACTCTTAATATTCATACCTATGTTAAGACTTAATAACTCTTTATCCATGATCCATGAGATGTGATCATCTGATGCTGCACTTGCACCTGAGACACTAAATTTTCATTCGATGCTTATATTGTTCATATGATTACTTGCTTTTATGTGTGGCTTAATACAAAGGGAATGAATGTATGGTTTGACTTGTGTCAAGATGATTGCTCTAGGTTGGTCAAATCTTTTCTACCTTTATTTTTACTTTATGCTTTAGAATAATCTCTTCATCTCTTGCCCATCTTCTTTAATTTTCAAAACTTCCCTCTCCTTTTCAAAACCATGTTGTTTTCAAACTTAAACCACTTTCATTAAAAACCTTGACTTTGTCAATTGCATTTTCAAACTTTCCTTTCTTAAATAAATGCTAAGACATCTTAAGCATATTAAAAACAATTTCAAAAGACTTAAAAAACACAAAAATCATTCAAATCCTTTTTCCATTTGGCTTTTCACTTTAAAATCTTTCTCAAAGTTTAGACATGAGTCATCTTTATAGTTGAGACGTAATTCTCCCATCTCTATAATATTGTCAATTTAAAAATCAATTAGACTTAAGTATCTTCATCCAAATATTTTCTTAAATAAAAATACAAAAAAAAAACTTTAGAACTAGGTTAATTTCCATTTAATATTTATTTTTTCTCAATTAAATTTAGGGTTAATTTTATTTTAAGCATCTTTTTTAATCAAAATTAAGCAAAAACCAACAAAGATTTTCTCTTGTATATTTAGCATTTTCTTAATTTTTAGACGCCCGTCTTAATCTCGCGCGCGTTTATTGTTTTCACATTTTTTTCAATATTGTAACTGATTATGGATGTAATAATTTTAGATTTAAAATTCCGCACTTTACTTCTTACACTTATAATGTATCTCTCCCAAAGCCGTGTAATAGTTTAGGATTTATTTTTCTGCATTTTATTTTCCACACACTTATTGCTTTATTATTTTACTATATTAATGTTAGCAACTAGGTGTGTATGGAAAGGTTGTAAATTAAAACATTAGCTAACCTAACAAAAAGATAGAAAATAACTGAATTGAACACATATGCACATATACACCTCTAGGGTATCCCCGCTTCGATTGCCTTTCGGAAAATAAAACAGTCATGTCCCTCGAGAATGAGGACGCTTTAGCAAAAACCCGTAAAATCAAAAGATCATAGTCCCTCGATGACCCTACGGTGTTGCTTTTCGGTAAATGATCTCGTTTCTTAAACAAAATTGCTAAAGTGTCTCCATATGTTGCCTTTATGAATGTACGTCCCTTTGAATGTCCCTTAA